AATAAACAAAAAAGAAGTATATAGAAAGTTTTATTAGGGTTGTAGGATTCCACTATTAAAAATAATCAAAATTCTTTCTTGTTTTAGAGAAGTTAGCATGGTGATAACCTAATTTTAAGAAGCCGCTATTATGCAGCATGGTGGACAAACCTCATAGCACAAACTTCCCACACTGACTCAGGGTCGATCTGTCCAATAAAAGTATGATTTTTACCAATCACATGCACAATTTTTAATGTTTATAATAATTCGAAAGATTTTTATTTACTAGATCAAGGATATCTCACAATCCAGTAGTCAGAATTTAATGAAGCTTATACCATTTGATTCATTTAATTGAGACGAATCCAATGGTATAAAAATTATCAATTTCTACCTATTGGATCATAAGATATCTTCGATCTTTTATAAAATTTGTTTCTAATATAACTCATTAAATATTGGGATTATTTTGGATTAATTTTAAAAAAACGTAGGCTTTTATGAGCTTTTCTTGTTACTTTGTTTTTTTAACGTATTTAATTGCTAGGTTTTGAAAGATCACCAAAATAAAAAGTACTTTAACGCATATAAAAAGTTAAAAAAAAAGTTTTCTTCAATTATAACGATCATCACCAAATTCCACCATGCTCTATTATGCTAACTTCTCTAAAACAAAAAAGAATTTTGATTATTTTTAATATTGGAATCCTACAACCCTAATAAACCTTTTTATATACTTCTTTTTTGTTTATTCGTAGTAGTTTTCTTTTTTTAAAAAGTACTTTAAACTGTATGAATAATGCAAAATTAAATTGATTTAAACTGCCAATCACACGAATGTCTGCCTATGAAGTCATACCACAAAAGTTTGTCGGACTATCGAGCGGAGCGGAATCAATACAATATTAGAAATATAAATAATAAACTATTAAAAGTATTTATACGTACATTTGTATAATTGTTAAAATAATTGGAGCTCTATATAAAGTGATGAATATATCCATGGGCTGTTGGATCTGTATTTTAATGATTCAAATTATATTGGACCAAACTTGGCAAGCAGGCAAAAATCCCATACTTTATCTCATATAAGACACATCCATCACATGCAAAACTCTAATTTAATCGTCATTTTAATACAGTAATAATTACACGTGCCAATAAAGAATCGATAAGTTTTAGTTCTATGAAGCAATGAATATATATAAATGAAAACTTGATGCGTACGTACGATCACCATCCGACCGATTAAATTAATCGTACATCGTTCACTAATGAGTCCAAGTCCAACCTAATAATATAAAAAGAAGAAAAAATTCCTAGCAAAATTCATAGGTAAAAAAATCCAGTAATTTCTGGTACATATTATAACTTATTTCCTCTTATTTACTATATATTCACTAGATAATATATGCATTTAAACATATTAACTAAAAATAGATAAATTACACAAATTATTTAATAAATATATAGTAAATAAGTTATAATTTGCACCAGAAATTACTAGTTATTATTTAGACTAGTTATTATTTAGTTAATAATTGATTTTTTTACCAGTGATTATACCCATCCAAAAAAAAAACATTAACAATTTTTTCATTAATTAGTCAATATAACGAACCGTTTTATAAAGGGCACATAGACCAACTCTTTTTATATACGATAACATATAATATTAACCTAGCAGACATGAATTATTTATTTATAATTTTAATCAACTTTATTAAACAAGTTGATATTTTTAAAATCTTCATAATGATAATATGTTTTTACATATTTCATTTTTATTACAAACATTTTACTCGTCCAAATCCTCTTCCTGGTCCAATGCCAATTCCTTTGATAGGAAATCTTGAAATTCTTAAAAATTCTAATCTAGATATTGACGAATGGACCTATAATTTACATAAGAAATTTGGACAAAATGGAATATTTGAATTTAATATGGCTGGTATTAGATATGTAATGATTAGTCATGCAGAATATGTGAGTAGATTTATGTTACCAGATAAAGGTGATCATACGAATCATTTAATGAGAATCAATAAAGATAAGGGGTTTTTAAATTTACTTGATTTTAGTACTAAAGGACTTGCACTTAATTGTGATTATAATTATTGGAAATTTAATCGTCAAATTGTTTCTCGAGCCATGAATTCAGCATGTCATTCTAACAGAACTATTAAGTTAATAAATAATTTATTTGAAGAAATGATAAGTTATTGGATTGATTTAAAAGAACCTGATAGTGATTCAACAATTATTGAAGCATCTACTTGGATGTTTAAATTTTCGTTCGATTTTTTATTCGGAGTAATAAATGGTAGCCCATCATTTGCGATGAAGTCATATTATCAAGGATTGAAAAAAATTAATTCCACAAAAGAGATAATGGAATTTGAGAAATATTCTAACTGCGTAAGAAATTTTGAGAATGATAATTTACTTGTATTTATGCCAGAATTTTTTAAATATATTCCTATAATCAGAGATCGTATTCAGAGTTTAATAAATAATTGTGACTTTATAAAAGAAAACTCTAAGGAAAGAATTAGGAAAAGGAGAAAAGAAATCGAAAAAATAGTTAATAATAGTAACTTTAAATCGGGACAATTAGGAGATGATCTATTAACGTCGATGATTATTGCTAATACTCCATACGAAATTCATCCTGCAAGTAATGTTGGTCCTTCATTGTTAAGACCAATGACTGATGATGAAATAGTTGGTATTTTGTTTGAATTATTTGTACCTTCGGATAATGTAAGTAATGGTGATTAGTATAGTGAGATATTGTGCGAGTTATATTTACGAATTAAATAATATAAAAGTTATTTGCAAACACCTGATTTTCTTCAAAGATATTTAATTCGTTAATATTTTACACTAATAATTCTATAATTACTGACTTACATATATGATTATTTTATAGCTCTCGAGTACTTTCTGCTTTATATTATATTACATTTCACAGAATCTAAACGTTAAAACGAAGTTAATAGAAGAGATAAAAACGGTTTTCAAAGATGATTTAACTAGACCGATAACTCTCAATGACCTTGACAACTTAAGATATTGTGAAGCAATTATTAAAGAAACGTCAAGAATAAGACCTACAGTCCCTCTTATATCAAGATATACTGAACATGCTGATGAAATAGCGGGATATTATTGGCCATCAACTACTGACACTTTATTCATAATGTACGTTCGAGGGATTAATAATAATCCTCTTTATTGGAAAGATCCTGAAAAATTTATTCCAGAAAGATTTTATGAAGCTCAAGAAATTAAAAATCATCATAAATTCTCATTTTCAATGTTTGGTGGAGGTTTAAGAGTGTGTCCAGCTAAAAATCTTGCAATGATTCAAATGAAATTACTATTGGCATTACTTTATAGAAAGGTTGACGTTGAACTTGTAGATATGAATGCACCTCTTAAAGTCAGGAATTCAACATCTACTATCTGTGAAAATTTATATATCAAAATTTTTCATAAACAGCCTATAAATTAGAAAATTTTTTGTAACTCGATCATAAAAATTCCTAATCTTGAATATTAGTTAACATGAATAAAGTAATTTCATTGATGATGTTTTTTCTTTATTTGCAAATTCTTAATTTCTATATTAAATATTTTAAACTTTTAATTTTTTTTCGATATTTATAATTGACATCATATGTATTTGCATGCGTTGGACATGTAAGACGTAATGAATTCATATGTGACGTAATGAATTCATATATGAAGAATAATAGCGTGATGAATTCATACGTGAAAAATAAAAAAAGTTGAAGAATAAGTCACGCGGGCCAACTAAAAGTAAGATTTTGCGGCCGGATCCCATTTTCAAACAGCGTATAACCATACACTTCGTAATTGCATCACTCCGCTCCTGGTATATATAACGAACGTTCAACTTGTATTTTTATTGTCTTAACAGGTTTTTAACTCAATAAAAGTGAATGGCGATCAATGCTTTTTTTTTATTATTATTGTCCTTCAGAATAGAACTAACCAAATACGGATTTACTGTCAACTGTCTTCAGATAGTCTTCAGAGCCGTTAACGCTTATTCCGCTGCACAATGGAGCCAAGCCGACCAAAGCCGATGAACCGCAACTTAAGCTACGATTAAGCATCAACTGCAACTGAATCGCTTTTTAAAGTCATAGCTCCAGATTAAACCATAATTATGGCTAGAGCATTATTTGGCTATGGCTCAAGTTGTGGTAAATAATATCGATAAGCTTTGCATTAAATATTATTACATATGTTGCTACTGTAATAATGATTTTAAAGCAATATAGTATTTAAAGAAGCCATACAAACGTTAACAGCTCTAAAAATCTTTAACGGGTTGAAATTGGTCTACAAAATTCTTTGTTAGGTTTTACATGATATTTCAATTACAGTTGTTATAAATTCTGGGACACCTAAAAATTTTCTCGTCTTCCAAAACCTCTTCGGTCTTGTTCTTAGAATCATTTAACTTTTCAGAAACTACTTCGCTGTCTCCATATTGAAGTTCCAAGTACAGCAAAGTAGTTTCCAAAAAGGTAGGCGATTCTTAGAATGAGATCGAAGAGGTTTCAGGAAACGAGAAAATTTTTATGTGTCCCAGAATTTATGAAAACAGCTGTAAGTATTTTTTTATTTAATCATTTGAACATTATCAATCAACATATGTATTAATTAATTTCTTGTTAATTTTTATTCATATGATTTAAGGTTGGCTTCATACCAATATTAGTTACCATATCTTCAATTACAAATCTACCACTAATAATAAATAGATTGAATTTGCTAAACTTGCTACAAACTAATTACCCAGCACCATGTTTCTCTTACAACTCACACATTGACACCATCTGGCACAAACTTTAATACTATCACCCAAGCTGCAATCCAAACTATCCCTAATAAAATATTTTGCAAGCGAAGCTGCAACCACAAATACAGTTCTCAGTACACTGCTTTTCATATTGGGCTTAAAAAATTTGGCCAACTAATCAAAACTCTTAATAACAACAACCCCTTTGAACTTTACTTACCATATAACAACTCAAATATCCTTATTATTAACTCTTATACTAGCAGCAAACTCTAATCCTTAATCTTACTTGACTCACACTCTATCCAATCATGGCTTCTACAGGCACACATGATCTAAAAACAAATATACCATACATACTATCTTGAATATTCACTTTATC